CCATAAAGTACACCACCTCAAATGTTCTTGTGCCCAACATATAAGGGTATTTCATCATTTAAATGCAGACATATTTTATAAAAAAAATGTTCAGGTCAAACTTGAACCACTGCCATTGGCGCAAATATATGCTTTCCACATCAAGAAACAACTGTAAAACAAAAGCATCAGAAAGATATTCACGACAACACTCTAACAAGCTAAAATATATTACGCACAGAACAGCATAAAACATATTGCTTTATGTGGAAAATTTTCAATTTTAGAACTAGTCTCTTGATAAAGTAATGCTTCTGGTGTCATCTATTCTCAAATTTCAACTCATAAGCTTCAGATACTTCACAACTACTCACCTTGTTGCGAGAGATGCCATTGACGGGGAACGTCAAACTGTCTGCAACGATGTCCCCATACCGTCCAACTTGGTACACCAGGACAGTTGCAACGGGTGCCATCTCAGCACTCAGAGTAATGGCAAAAGTCCGTATTGTAGACTGCATCTTCTCCTCACCACTGAGCAAGATGATGCCCTTCGACATGATAATGAAGTGGAACATCTCCATGTAGAAATTGCTCTGCACATGTAGGATGATGTATTCCCCAACCTGTAAATATCAACAAATTAAATTCCTGATACTCCTTGATATCACAATGATACTAAAAAAACTGAACGCAGAAGTTTCTCCACAAAAGTATGAAAACCTGCAAAACAATAACATAACATACATTTACTAGACACGTGCAAGACTAAATTTTCAGTTCAAGAAAAAATTAAGACAAGAACGTGGAAAATGCAGAGAACCCAGAAAAGGAAATCCAAATTAAACTACATGACATATTTTAGTTGGAACTAAAACCACTGGAATTGGAGGTAAATTAAACTTTGAATGACAAGTATTTAAATCTCCGTGTTTAGCCAGGTGGTCAGAATATTTCGGCAATTACATGCCTTAGATGGCAGAAAATCTTTAAATACATTTTTAGCCTAAAAGTTTTTAATAAAATGCAGGCTGTTAGGTCTGAACCAAACTTCCCCATATCAAAGTTTAAAAATAATCAGCCTGACAGCATAGTTTTCATACATTTTCAATTTTATCCTGCATTTTTCTCTTTACTCTTTGAAATATTGGATAACAGATTACTTAATAAAGGGAAAGAAACATTTTAAAACACCATAGCTTCAAAATGGCATTTCCTGTGTCGCAGTAATATATGTTTCTAAACAGCTTACAGATATCCAACTGGTCAAGGTCTTATAATAGTTGTTTGTATTGTTAGAAGTTTTTGGCAGCGCAATAATATAACCATATAGAGATTTTGTTGACAAGTTAATTGCGCTAGCATTGTCAACAGTTATAATACCGATAGCCGGGGCAGTCTGCTGTGTCCAAAGCAAAAGCAATTATCTGAAAATTCTTTAAATTCGAGATTGAAAAGTCAATACTTGCATTGAGTCCCCCCCCCCCCCTTTTAACAATTTGAACTTGAAAATTCAAGAATTGCACATGCCTAATATTTATCTTCTACAGATTAGGTAAACTCCCGTCTCAAAACTTACATTCATGGGAGGGGGAGGAGATTTATGAAAGTATATTTGATGACACACA